TGTTAAATTTGTAATTAATCATTAATTAACTGTCCATAAAATAATAAATCTAATATAATTATCGTACTTGGCATAAAAAATTAAACTTCTAGAATCTTTTTTTAAACGAATATGCGTTTTCCAAAAAATAAAATGAAAATAAATAATTAAAAATCAACAAAATCAGTTATAGCGTATTTTAAGACTTTTACATGTTTTTTACTGTATGTAGTGTTTTTGTGGGCTATTTATTGAGAAAACAACATTGAAGTTATTATTTTTGAATTTCTTGTAAAATTTCCTTTACTTGAATTTTACTCTTATAATTCTAAGTTAAGAGAAAAAAAAGTTACGAGACATAGATCAGTTATTTCTATTAAATTTGACTCTTCAACTCAACTTAATAGGCCCGGGGGCACGGGTTAACCTTAACGGATCGGTCCCAAATTTTGCACAGCTCATTTTTTTGACCATTAAAAAAAAATTAAGGGGTAGCGTAAAAAAAAAAAGACATTCGATTTTTGAGGGCCACCCTAATATACATATCATGTCTATCGTCTATGGGCAAGTAAAACACATAAAAATTGAATGATAAAATCAATTTTTTTTTTATTCGATTTCTAGACTTTGATTTAGCCGACTATATTATTGAAAAAGTTCGAATGCCCGACTGGGGTAAGTTTTAGGGGGCAAGATGCCACCTTAATTTATTACGATTCGTAATAGATAACTTAAATAGAAATAATAGTAATTATTTCCTAGAAACTTTTGATGTTTAAAAATATTATACAATTGAAATATTCAGAACTACATTAATTTTAATGATTTACTTTAACTAAAAAAAAACCCAGCACAGTGGGGTCGCGGCATAGTGGGGACGTTGCATAGTTGGTTCCAGTATAGATTTAATCTGACAGTGATTAAAATCACTATCATAAGAAACGCTTCGATGCAAATCTGTAGATAGTGTTTAATTCTAAGAAATTGATGGATAATTACAAAAGCAACATCAACTTCTATTTCATTAATTATACCCAGATTAGTAATTCTTTTAATTATATATTATATAATTTTTAAAATTAATTGTTTTCAAATTATTATTGATTTTGATTTTTAATATGTTAAAGGTAATCATTTTGAACCTATTTTTTTTTGTCCTTTAATGTGAAAGTTTTAATAAAAAAAAATGAATTTATTACCATAATTTATAGTTCAACTTGCAAGTTTGAAATTGACATTATTAAATAAAAAAAATGAAATTTTTAAGATTAATATGCAATCAGGAAGTTTTATAATTACTATTTACAGTACATTTATCAGAAAAATTCGATTTTTCTACAGTTTTATCGTAATAGATAATTGAAATAGAAATAATAGTAATCATTTCCTAATAACTTTTGGTGTTTAAAAAGATTTTGCAATTGAAATATTCAGAACTTAATTAATTTTAATGATTTACTTTAACTAAAAATACCAATCAAAACAAAGTTGTTAAAAATATTTACTCAATTGAGCGTATTATAAAATTTGATTATAATTGTAAAAATCCATTGTTAATTCAGAAGAAACTATTATTTTTCAATTATTATTTTTAAAAATGATTTATATAGCAACATGTTACCAAAAAATGTGAAATATTAATGACTGGTTGTAACACACACAAATAAAGTTAAAAAATTAATAAACTACAAAGTAAAATTATTTAATTTTGTAGTTGAAACCTATCATATCAAACTAGAAATTAATGATTTTAATTATCTGTATGGAGAACATGGGATAAGTAACTGTTTAGTTGATAAATTAGAATTTTTTTCAATTTTTGAAGGTAATATCTTCAACTAGATACGAATTGTAGTCATTTGACGTATCGTTGAAAAAAGTAGGTCAAGGTTTGGTAGGTAGGTTAAGTTAGAGCAGAGAAAATTAATGATAGTCACAAAAAACTATATTCTTAGCTTTGCATCGAAGCTAAAACTTGAAATATAGTAAAATAATTTTAATATGAATAAGAAATTTCTTCTTGCGAATGGCGACTACAGTGATAGGATCCTTGATCTTTATTGAAGTTAATGAATATAAATGAGATAAAAATCAAAGGAGTTGAAAATTTATTCTAACTTAAAAAGAATTAAGAAAAAATGCAAAAAATTCCCGGTCATACGCGGGTTGGAATCTTGTACTCTAAACGCGTAAAACACAAGTTTTACCGACTCGGCAACATTTTCAAAAATTAAGTTGAAAAAGTTAGTTTTTTGTGAAAAAATGCCATTTTGAATTCTTTTGAGCATATAACTATATTATATCAGTATAGTTTCAGCCACCGAGCAGTAACTATCGCTATGAAGATGGACTCTGCAATGAGTCCGAAATGTCAGCAATCAACTGCAAACATGGATAAATCTTTAAGCTTTTCAAATAATATGACAATCCATGAAAGTTTCAACACATTCATAAATTTATCGTTATTTTAATGTCAATAATAATGGAGACAACTATAGTCTGTTTTAGTGGTTATAATTTATTTTTATGATATTTATCAATAAAATTTTTCCACGTTAGTTCAACAATGTACGTTAGTAAACTTCGTTGAATATAAGAATATATGTCTGACCTAAATTTTTAAAGATAAAATTACTGTATGATAGATAACAACGAGTTGTACATATATGACGGTGAATTTATATTAAAAAACGAAATTTTTAAACAATTAAACGTTTGATCGGATAAAAACAAATTTATTAAACTAAAAATATGAGTTCCCATTAATGAAAGTTAATAAAAGTTTTTTGCTTTTGAAGTGATGAAAAATTGTTTTTATTTAATTATATATTATTGTTGATATTTTTGAATCAAACAATATTTTCCTTACAGAAATAAAACAATGTAAATAGTTTCCAGAAAAATGAATGTCTCATCTATAATGAATCACTCTGTATATGAACTACTGATATTGTTTTTGGAAAATATTTTGCAATAACTTTTAATTCCGAGTTCAGGATACTGGAACAATTTTTTTAGTGTGGGAAAATCTGAAGACTAAATTAATCGTCTTAAAAATGGTGGAAACCCATTGGATCAAACTGATCTCTGTGGCATGTCTCGGCGCACGGATTCTCAGGATGCGAACAAACTTTTTCTTGTAATTTTTTCATTGGTGGTGTTTGATCTCTGGTGTAAGCCAGTCAAATACCCAACCGTCCACCATTGACGTAGCTATGTTTTTTCAAGCCATAACTTTTTAGTTGAATGAGGGAGGGTAAATTTTCATTTTGCCTCTTTAGTATTTAAACTGCAGGGGCAGTATCACCTATACTCGATCCGGTGTAACTGTTTATGTTTCATTTTTTACTTAAAAAATTTGAAAAGAAAAATGAATTAAATTATTACTATTGAAATTTACTAGACGATGTAATTTATGAGTTGATCTAGTCAGATTAATTATGTAAAAAAATCGAGACGAAAGATAATATAATTCATGTTAACATTTGTTAATTACAACATTGTGTTAATCTTCCATAAAATGTATAGTCTTGCTGTATAACTTAAAACTGTTACATTTTTTTATATTTTCTCATTCAAGATGGTTATTTAAAATTTGAAAATTGTAATGAATTCTTTTAATATTGTATGTATAAAAAACCTACAAATTGGATTATTAAAAAAATCACTATAGTAATTTCGATAGTATTTTGTAAAATTTAATAACAATAAAAAAACATTTTAACAGTATTATAAATTTGTATATATTTTATAATTTTTTAATGAATATTTACATTCTTAACCATTTAAATTCTATTAAAATTTTTTTGAGAAAAAAATCAAGAATAAATAATATTTAGTTATATTTTCCTTTTTGTACTATTCTTTAAATTACTTTCATAAGTATCATTATTATTATATGCTATCATAATATGATATTATCATGTAGGATATTAGTAATTATTTTGTTACTTGAAGCATGTAGAAGTCGATATTACCTGTTCGGCCTTGAGACTTGACAACATTATGTACGCCGGCATACCAACATAATTTTAAAATTATACATTTTGTGAACAGTCACTTTGGTATCTGTTCAGCTCGTATGTAGTTTGTGCTTCTGACATAAGTTAGAGATACTTCAATTTTCAATTTTTATATGTGAGTATTTAAAATATATATAATATAAACGATAATATTTTAATACTTGAAACATTGTATTTTTAGTAAGTATTTTTTAAAATGCCATATAAGGTCACATATTTCAATGTAACAGCCTTAGCTGAACCCATCAGGTTTCTACTTTCATATTTAAATGAAGATTTTGAAGATAATCGATTTGAACGCGAATTATGGCCAACTCTCAAACCAAGTAATTAAAGTAAAAAATGAAGTTTTACATTTTTATATCTAATTTATTTGTGTAGATATGCCTTTTGGTAAAGTTCCCATAGTAGAAATTGATGGAAAAGTATTAAACCAGTCTACTGCAATTACTCGTTATCTAGCTAAGAAGGCAGGATTAGCTGGAAAAGATGATTGGGAATCATTACTTATTGATATTTCCGTGGATAATATTCATGACTTGAGACAAGGTAGCTTATAACAAACAAGTATTTTTATAAAAGTTAAACAGAGTTTTATTAAAGATTGGTCCAAATACATTAGTTTAGTCTGACCTAAATATTGATAAAATTGTATTAGTTGTTTTTCAATTGAGACACTAAGAACAAGGGCCCAAACCAAAAATTCTAACTAAATAAAGCAATTAATTTGAAGGTATTAAAATAGGATAACGATTATAAATTGATTAAAATATAATACTTTTTTATAAATTACTATTAAATTATTAAACAAGTAAAACTTAATGACTAGTCTTTATATTCATTAATTCTAGAAAATGAATTTATTATTTGAGAGGTCTCATATTATGAATGTGTTAAAGCTTTCATGGATTGTCTTGTTGCTTGAAGTGCTTGAGGATATATCCATGTTTGCAGTGGAGTCCGAAACGTCAGAACTCAACTGCAAACATGGTTATATCCTCAAGCAAAAAAGTTTCATATTATTTGAATTGTATTACTTTTATTAAACACTCATTATATTTTTTCAGCACTTGCAAGTTACTCTTATGATCCAGATGAAGAATCAAAACAGAAGAAATATGATCCTTTGATAAAGGAAACAATTCCATTTTATATGAAAAAATTTGAAAGTATTGTTACTGAAAATAATGGATACTTTGTGAATGGAAAGGTACAATACTTTTTTTATCATTATAACATGACATAGATTTTGACATTAAATGATTGCTCAACTTTTTTAACTATTTATTATTTCTTGATTTATTATTTATTAAACTCTTTTAGGTCAATATTTATTGTTCATTGTAAATTTTTTTATTTATAATTAGTACTTCTAGTAAAAAACAAAACATGTATTATTTATAAATTTTATAATTCTTTTTAGCTGTCTTGGGCTGATTTATTCTTTGTATCAATCATGGATTACCTAAATTATATGGCTGGCTTTGATTTGTTGAAAGAATACCCTAAACTACAAGCTCTTAAAGCATCAGTTGTTGCTATTCCTCAGATTAAAGCTTGGATTGCTAAACGACCAAATACTATTTAAAATTAAAGCATAATATTTTTATAAATCATTTTAAATTTTATATTTGTGTTATTATTCTATGTAGTTCATTTAAATTATTTACTATTTTTGTATCATTATTGTAATGAAACATATTTTATTTAAATTTAGGATATGATACTAAACTAGCAATTTTTATAATTACATCTTACATAAAAATAAAAATAAATCTTGGAATTTAAAAAAGGTAACAGTTACATTGTAATTATTTAAATAAAAAATAAACCTAGCACAGTGGAGACGTGGCATAGTTGGGTCCAGTATAGATTTAATCTGACAGTGATTAAAATCATTATCATAGGAAACACTTCGATGCAAATCTTTAGATAGTGTTTAATTTTAAGAAATTGGTAGATTATTTCAAAAGCAACAATAATTCTTATTCCCTTAATTTTATCCCGATTTGATTTATAGTTATTATATATGAATAAATAACAATTATAGTAATTAAATTTAGTATGAAATTGATATTCAGTAATTTAATATTGTAATTTTTACGGATTTATTATAAAAATAATAAAGTAGTAGTATATTTCTTTACTTTTAACGCGTAAAAAAATTTAAAGGGCTTGATGCAATACTTTTAAAGTTATAAGTTTTATACACTGGACTACAAGGAACTTTCATCAGAAACAAAAAAAAACCTTTCTAAATCAACTTTTCCCAATGCTTTAAATGTGCAATTAGACTTTTTACTTACTTCTAAGTATTAATATTATTACTTATTATTAAAAAATAAGTATTTAAATAAAAAAAATAATTAAGAACAAAAAAAAATTGTATTAAATTAATACTGATTTTGATAATTAATATGTTAAAAATAAGGAATATGACATATTTAACCTATTCTTTAATCCTTTAAAGTTGATTTTTGTGAAAGTTTATATTAAAAAAATTAATTAAGTTAATACCATTACTTTTAGTTCAATTTACAAGTTTGAAATTGCATCTTGATTTCCAGTTTCATTTAAGTTGTTCCTTGATAATATGGGGGTTGAACAGATTATATAATAGTTTAATTGTACCAATGCAACTTTCCAAATGATTTTCCGTCAATGATGTGAGCTCATCCAACACAGATTTATATTCTTTCCTATAAAATATTTTAAATGACATATTAGCTGCATTATTTCTATTATTATCAAGGCGCTTAGGTACAAGTCAGGTTCTATGACGAACTGTAAACTCTTTTTCAGCATCCACACCAAAAGACTTCAAAAACTCATTTGAAATATTTGTAAGGTTATCCATACCATCTACCTCAGAATTAATAATGTTTAATGATTCTAGAGTACTTGACATGACATCATTAAATAGGCAATTTTGTGAGAATTAAAAAAATTGTATTTTTATCGTAATAGATAACTTAAATAGAAATAATAGTAATCATTTCCTAGAAACTTTTGGTGTTTAAAAATATTCTACAATTGTAATATACAGAACTACATTAATTTTAATGATTTACTTTAACTAAAAATACCAATCAAAACATAGTTGTTAAAAAGATTTACTCAATTGAGCGTATTATAAAATTTGATTATAATTGTAAAAATCCATCATTAAATTCAGGTGAAACTAAAAATCATTTTTTTTTTAAATTTATGATTTATATAGCAACATGTTACCAATAAATGTGAAATATTAATGACTGGTTGTAACACACACAAATAAAGTTAAAAAATTAATAAACTACTACAAAGTTAAATTATTTAATTTTGTAGTTGAAACCTATTATCATATCAAACCTAATTCGTCTGTAAATATTTTTAAAATATAAGTAAGACCTGAGAAAATAAATGACAGTCCCTCTCAAAAAAAAAAAAACATAGTAAAATAATTTTAATATGTATAAGAAATTTCATCAAATAGGGGAGAATGTAGTGATGGAGTCCTTAATTGAAGTTATTGAATCTAAATGTGACAAAAATCAAATGATTTGAACATTTTTTCAAAAAAGAAATAAGAGCCTTGTACCACAAGCAGGGCCATATTTACGCACGGACAAAATAGACATTTGTCCTGGGCCCATGTGGCCAAGGGGCCCACCAGTGACTTACTATATAATGTATTATTTTGTTGAAATAAAAATTTTTTTTTATTGTTTTTGTCTAGGACATAATAACAAGGCAAATGACATAATAAAATATATACATAAAACAAAAATACAATGATAGTTTCATATACAATAGTGTAAGAATTAAGAAACCAGCAGTTAAAATGTATTTAGTAATAAAAAAGATGATAGGGAGTGAATAATAAAAATAATATTTGTTCATTTCATAATAATATTATATAAGATTAATATATATTATTATTGATTGATGTACTTTTAGCTATAGGTTATAAGCTTAGAAATATTTGTATGGTGTTATTTAAACTGAATAATTCTACAACTTTTTCCCGTAAACATATTAATATGTAACTATAGTTACATAAACTATAGTAACAACATATTTTGTTTTGTGTAAAAATAATAATAAATACACAGCTCGCATTATTGCCATGTGCGATAACGCCGATAACAGTATACATTAGGGTGGTCCTTATCTACATAGGTCATTTTTTTTTTTTATTAAATTCAATCAGGACGCCCCCTAGAATTGTTCTACAGAGTGTTCAGTAAGTTAGGAAACTGTTAAATTGTTACAAACAATAAGTACAATAGAAATTCGTTTCCTTATTTACTGAACACTCTGTATAGGTTAAAAAAATACATTTTGTGAAGTTTCGTAATTGTCCAATGATTTTTTCCCGTGCCGCAGAAGGGTTGAAATTTAATAAATTGGGGTAAAAATTAATTTTTTACGTATAACTTGTTAAATTTTACTTTTTGAATCAAAAAAATTTACTGAATAAAATTTGTTTAAAAATGTATTTCCTATAAAATATATTATATTATTTTTTACTCTATATTGCATATTTAATTGAATAATCAATAAAACACATAAATACGCCGTTTTTTCCCGATTCTAATTTTTTGCGTAATTCAGTTTTTATTAGCGTAAAAATTGATAGGCTACCTGTACTTATAAGTTTCAATGGTAATGAGCAACTTCTTGGCGTTCCTTTTATTAAATCAAGTACAGGAAGAGAACAAGCTTCAGCAATTCATAGTTTATTAGTAGAATGGTATATTGAAAATAAAGTTCAGGCTATTTGTTGCGACACAACAGCCGCCTCTAATATGGGGAGATTACAAGGTGCTTATATTATTTTAGAGCAATACCTCGAAAGGGACCTTTTATAAAATTGCTTTATCTAGTGGACCAAATATACCATTGTTTAAAAAATTTAAAAAAAGTTGGGCACAGATTAAAGACTGTACAATAAATCCAGATTTAAAAAATATTACGGTTAAAACACAATTAAACGGCTTAGAAAATAAATTAATTTTGTTTATAATGGAAAAAATAAAAATTAATCAACCAAGAGAAGACTATAGAGAACTTCTTAATTTGGCAATTATTTTTCTTGGCGGTGATCATTATACAAATATTTCTATTAGATCTCCTGAAGCTTTTCATCACGCCAGATGGATGGCAAAAGCCATTTATTGTTTAAAAATTTTTCTTTTTCGAGAGTCTTTCGAGCTAACAAATGACGAACGGGTTGGTGTTCGTGATGTTTGTATATTTTTGGTAAGAATTTATTTAAAATACTGGTATTCTGAAAATAATTCTATTGAAGCTCCTCGTATAGACTTAGAATGCATGAAAAATGTTTATGAATACACAAAAATTGACGATGCTGTAGGTTTAATAGCACTTAAGAAATTTAGCAACCAATTATATTATCTCGCGCCTGAAAATGCCTCAATGGCATTTTTTGATGATCAAATACCTGTTGAAATAAAAAGACTTATGGTAAAATCATTACAAACTAATGAATGTGAAGACTTAAAAAAATTAATCCGCCAAGAAATATAAAACATTTTGTAAGTAAAACTATTGACAAGTTCATTAAGGCAAACTCAAAATTTTTTTTTAAACGTGTTGATATGAAAACTAGTTTTTTAAGCAAAGATCCCGAACGATGGAATTTAAATATAGATTATCTAGACTGTCAAGAAATAGTGCGAAGATTAAAAGTTGTAAACGATACTACAGAAAGATCAGTGAAATTAATTGAAGAATATAACTCGATAATTACTAAAAAAGAAGACCAAAAGCAATACTTGCTCCAAGTTGTCGCAGATTATAGAAAACATTTTCCTGATGCAAAAAAAACACATTAATGAAATAATGATGATTATTTAATAATAATTGATAATAAATTTCCATAATATTTTTTTAGTTGTGTTTTTTTTATAATTAAAGTTTATTTTTATTATTTATTAGTTTTATATTATATGTTTTAATCAGTTATATGTTATAAGACCAAGATTTAGAATTAGAAAATATTTTACTAATTAATATTTGTACATAATTTTATAATTTATATAGATTTTGTAAAAATTTGTCGATTACGTTAATAAAAACTGAATTACGCAAAAAATTAGAATCGGGAAAAAACGGCGTATTTATGTGATTTATTGATTATTCAATTAAAAATGCATTATAGAGTAAAAAATAATATAATATATTTTATAAGAAATACATTTTTAAACAAATTTTATTCAGTAAATTTTTTTGATTCAAGTAAAATTTAACAAGTTATACGTAAAAAACTAATTTTTACCCCAATTTATTAAATTTCAACCCTTCTGCGGCACGGGAAAAAATCATTGGACAATCACGAAACTTCACAAAATGTATTTTTTTAACCTATAGAACAATTCTAGGGGGCGTCCGGGCAAAAAAAAAAACTTTGAAAATTAAGAGCCACCCTAGTGTACAATATGCCGTAAACGGTACTATAATGTATCTAAGAAAAAAATAGACCCAAAGATGATATACNAATAAAAGCCACCCTAGTATACATATTACAATTACGAGTACAATATTCCTAATTGGCGGTGGTCGACAAAATTATTTTTCACTTTTCACTTGTCGAATATCGATACTAATAATACAAATGAACAGTTACGACTTACGATTCCAAAGAGCAACATATAATATTATTTTATTTTATATAAAATGTTACCAAAAAAATATCTAAGTGGCGGCTCCGCCAAAAGAAAATTAAAAGAAAAAAAAGAAGAAGAAATTAAAAAGTTACGTGGAAATTTAAATAAATATGTTGTTAAAATTAATACAGAAACATCTACATCACTTATTAATGATAATTTAGAAAGTAAGTAATTCAAACTAAATTATAATAAAATATATTATTGTCCGAGAAAAAAAAAACGAAATATAATAATAATATAACAACTCTTACTGTATATTTTTAAATAATACTCATTACTCAAGTATAAATACGTAATATGTATATATATTTTTTTATTTTTTAGTCAATTCATAAAATTTAAATTCAGAAAATCTTATTAACCAGGTTAAATCAAACAAGCTAACGACTAATGAAGAATCTACGGTTTAATCTATGGTAAGTTTATTTGAAAATGAACTTGAAACACATGATCAAAATCCAATCGATAATAATTTAAATACTATTAATAACGATTTAAAACAAATCAATTTTGAAAATTTCATTGACGATATTGCTTTATGGCCCTCATCCATTACGGACAATTTTCGGGAACACTTCATCCTCCAAATCAAAGTATTCAAGCTATAGACGAGTCCAAGAAATCGATTAGAGGCGTTTCTCGTAAATTAAAAAAACATAATTTTTTTGTAACAAAAAAGAATGGTATCTCAGTTCCAAGAACTTGGTTAATATATTCTCCCTCGAATGTCAGCGTGTTCTGTTATATTTGTAAATTATATGCTAAAACTTCAAAACATTTACTTTGCAAGGAAGGCTATAGTGATTGGCATCATATTACTGAACGGCTTATTGAACATGAAAACTCAACTACTTATAGAAATGCAATATGTGATTATTCCAATCGTTCTGTAGAATTAAAACGAATTGTTTGCCAACTAGTAAAAGAATATAAAACAGAAGTTCAATATTGGAGAAATACTTTAAAACGTACTATAGCTGTAATTCAGTTTATAAGCCAAAGAGGTTTAGCTTTTTTTGGGGATAATGAAATATTAGGTAATTCCCATAATGGTAACTTTTTAGGTATTATGGAATTATTAGCAACATTTGACCAATTTCTCAAGGAACATTTAAATAATTATGGAAATAAAGATAGTGGAAAATCTAATTATATTTCATCTCACACATTTCGTGAGCTTATATCACTGATGGCAGAAAAAGTTTTAAACGTAATTGTAGAAGAAATAAAAAATGCTTAATATTTTGGCCTTATTGTAGACTCAACGCCAAATGTGACTCATATATTAGCTATAGTTTTACGTTATGTGAAATCTGAAGGCCAAGCCATTGAACGTTTTATAAAATTTATAGATATTTATAGTCATAATGCTGAATACTCAACATCAACTGTTATTGAAATAATAAAACAATTAGGTTTAAATATTGAGAACTTTGTTGGCCAGTCGCACGATGATGCCAGTAATATGGCTGGAAAGTATACGGGATTACAAGTGCGAATAAAAAAGATAGCTCCAGCTGCTGAATATTTACCGTGCGCAGCACATTCGTTAAATTTGGTAGGTGTTCGTACTGTTGAAAGTTATAATTGCATAAGTAATAATGCAGTTAAATACTTTAGTATTATTTAAACATTATATAATTTTTTTTCAATATCAACTCATCGTTGGGATAAATTAAATCAGTTTAAAATCAAAGGGAATGCTTTTTTTAAAATCATCATCACAGACACGTTGGTTAGCGAATGCTAATGCTACTAAGGCCTTAACCCTTGGCTATTCTGAAATTATCAAAATTCTTTTTGAAATGTCTAATGATATGAATGAAAATACAAATACTCGTAATGAAGCAAAGTATATTTTAAATCAACTAAGAACAAGAGAAATGGCGATTATGATTGTTACTTGGAATTGTATATTAAAGCGAATAAATTTAACTTCAAAAACTATACAAAGTTCAACAACAAATATATCGATAATAGTACCAATATACAATTCTCTATTCGATTTTATACAAAATGTCCGAGAAAATTTTGAAATATACGAAAATGGATTCTATTTAATAGTAGAAAAATAAATAGATTACAAATGCAAAAGAATAAAAAAAAATGTTGAAGAGAGACAACAAAGTTTAAGACAAAATTTCATTACTGATAAACATTATGTAATTTGCGATACATTATTGGCAGAAATACAAAAAAGAAGAGAAGTTTAATGTTAATGTGGAAAAAAAATTTGGATTTTTATTTAAAGAAAACTTAACCAGAAATGAAATTATGACTAGAATTAAAGCATTAATATTGTTATATGAAAATGAACTTGATATTGACGCCGAAAGCTTCGTAGATGAATTTATTCAATTTCAAAGTCTTATTACATCTACCAACAATAGCACAACAATAACGCCAACTGATCAATTAAAGTTTATAAGAAATATGCAAATAGCACATACGTTTCCAAATGTAGAAACGTGCATTTTAGACACAAGTGTTACCGACTTGGAAACCGTACGTCGTGTCCGTCAACTGAAAAAAATGGCAATTTAAGCTAGTTCAAATTTCAAAGTTAATTTTCTCGACTTAAAAAAATCAAAAAAACCCAACCCAGCACAGGGGGGTCGCGGCACAGTGGTGACGTGGCATAGATGGATCAAGTATAATGATATCTGACAGTGATTAAAATCACTATAAAAAAAAAACAATTCGATGCATATCTTTAGATAGTGTTTAATTTTAAAAAATTGGTGGATTATTCCAAAAGCTACATGATCTGCTAGTTCATTATTAATATCCTAGTTAAGATAAAGTATGTCGAATGAAAAAGGGATTATTAAAAAATATTATTTCTCATAAAAAAATTGTGTTGATCCATACACTTTTCAATATGTCATAGCATTATAAAGTTAAAAATGTAAAATATAAAATCGAGAATTTTCACACAATACTAGCATTCGGTAGCCATTTTCACCGTGAAGATAAAATAAAGTCCGAAATTTTTTTTTTACCATAATAAAGTATATTACATTAGCTTTAATTTAAGATATATACAAAAGTGTCTGACCTTCCGGAACATTTTCAAAAGTTAAGTTGAAAAAGTTAATTTTTTGTGAAAAAGTTGTCATTTGAAATCCCCCCGATTTCAAATGACAATCTTTATCTGCCCACAGGGGGGTGTGGGCAGATAAAGGGTCAGATTTACAAAAAAAATATACCAAATGATAAGTAAAGGCATCAAGCATCTATATAAAAAATTATATTGATATGTTCATTTTTGAAAAAGTTACGGTAGTTTTTAGTAAAAAAAATTTTAAAAATTTCGAAAATTAGCAATTTTTAAATTTGTAATTTTTTTGGAGGTTTCCCCCATTTACGGGGAACGAGGGAAATTTTTTCAATTTTTGAGGGTAATGTCGTCGATTAGATACGATTTGTGATCTTTTGACGTATCGTTGAAAGAAATCCGTTCGGTGAGAGCTGAGAAAAAGTGGTAACAGACAAAAAAAAAAA